CCGCTATAGCTGAAGATTGAAATTCTTAAATTCAGCTGAGCTACATTACAGATTTCAACAGATTGTGTACGTTTTAAACACTTTGCTTTCTAATTGTTTTCTGTAGTCTTGTACTCGTCCGGAACAAGCTTGGCCTCGTTTCCATCCGAAGGCCTGGTGATAAAACAGAAGCTGAATCATCAGGGAAACGAGGTTGTGACGGGAGAAACTAAAACCGAAGAAGATGTGGCGATCTTGGGTCTTTATCAGGTACCAGGACTCTCGAGTGGCAGGTTTGCATTGTATGGTGACTCCAACTGCCTGGACAATGCACACATGGAAAAAGGTATTGGAATCCTTCCTCCATAGAAAGGATGTATCATTGCAGTGCATCTCTTGAACATAATTGGTTCCAGGAGCCATACATTTTCTTATTGGAAAAAAAAAAAACGCTTGTTAATACGCTTAACGGCCAGGTTTTTAAAATCAGAAACAGTAGAATCTTTTAGAATTTCACCCCATTTAATACTTTTACTTATTCGAAATTTAGAAAATCAAAATGCGTGTGACACGTCATTTTGATTGACCAAGTAGGCTAAACCTGTTCTTGCTTTGTTTTTAGGCTAAAATGCATTTCAGGCGGTTTAATACCCGATATTTAAGACTGTTCTATGTTCTGAAGGAAAGTTTCAAGTAGTTTTTACAGTTACTGTACGCAATATCTACATTCCGGATAGTTGTCACTCGAGGAGTACGAATGCGATGTATAGCGCATTGGTCGTAACGGCCTCAAGTCATGAAATTTGACCGTGTCCCCGGTAATACGGCCACCCCGTTGATTCGGCCTGTGGTTTTTTTTTTTTTTTTGTTTGTTTTTTTTTTTTAACCCATTTTTGACCGCATTAACGGGGTTCCACTGTATACATGTATGAATTGGAGTTATTGCGTGGCTGCCAATGTCAATTTTAGCGTGGGTTACGTAGTGTGGACCGACACGCGTCCGGTCATCAAGACCTTTTGTAGCAGGTTACATCATAACATCATACAACATGAAACACGTGGTTACATTTTTGAATGACAGACAAAGGGATGTGCTTACTGTTTTTCCTTTTTTTGTTGACAGATTGTTTTTGGCTTTTGGACCTGCTGTTGGACTTCACTTCAAACAAAATATTATCTCCCATACTAAAAGATCTAGACAGCGGCCCTCCCAAACCCTCCGAATCAGTACCTGAAAGAATGGACGGTGAGAGTGATAGAACACTTAGAGTATAAACATTATGCATGGCCATTTTAGCGTCAGTTTATATACGAGCCTTCGTCTCCGTCATGCTATCTTTAGAAGCATGAGTAGCGATAACGACGACCCTAGTGAAAATATTTCCTAATTAAAATTGCCTTTGTTGTGTTTGTTGCTTGCTTCCGATTATTTAAAGTCTTTGAACTTATTGAAAATTGTAATTCTTATTAAAAACAACGTTTTGAGTCACAAGAAACCACTATTTCCTTTTACGGTTATTCTCCCCACAAAATACAAAATTTGAACAGTATTGTTAAAAAGAAAAATATTCTTACTCATGAAAGTAAGAACTGAATAAGCCTCTTCATCCATATTCTTTGTTGGTGGTTTTCAGGAAGTCACCTTCATAAATACTCAAAAGTACTGGACTCAACTCAACTTGGAGCCATTGAGACTGTCCCTTTACCAGAATGTCCCGCGCAGGCGTGGAGCAAACCAGAGCCCCTCAATATAACGGCCCCTGAGAACCTTCACAAGCAAAGATGGCTCCTATCAATTAATCTTGATCAGGTAGGTGCTTGTTTGTCACTCTCTTGTATCTTGGCCTCTGCCTGCAAAACATTTGCAGTGAAAACATTGTGTTGAGAGTAACTTTACAGGGCGAGTGTATGGTGAAGTCAAGGTATAATCCCGCCAAAACTCAGTACCGAGAAAATGAAAAAATACGTCCAGTCTTGAGGTCCTTTTCTACACTTACATTAAAGATAAAAGTACTCCCGCTCAAGCTTTTGGTTGGCTCTTTGCATGATGAGCCGAGAAAGCCAAACGTGTCAACGATTATCTTTCGTTAAGGCACTTGCTTTGTTATATGAGAGTTGTACTCTAATTTCTGTGTGAATTTCGGAAGTCGGTCAAGTATTCTCCCGTTTGTCCCAGTAACTATAATGATAAGCAATCATTGGATTCCGCTTTCGATCGAGGAGGGTGTTATTCCCATTCTAAATAATCCCAAAAATCAGACTTACCTCGATCGATGTTAAGTTCCCGTCTTCAATTGCATCGTTACACTTGGTAGTTAAAGAACGTAAGAAAAGGCTAGGTGGCTCGCGAGGCTGGAATATTGACTACTATTGTTTTTTCTGTTGCCTAGCTACCCGTGATCGTCCCGCGTCACGTGCAGCGAGTAGCACCGTACCCGGATGTAGGTGATTCAGACCCTGAAGAACTCCCTGTTGCAAGTCATATGAGCGTAATGTCCACCCTCCCAATGTACGTGGTACTGTTCACAGCAATGGTTGTTTTGTATTGCGTTGTTCTTTCGTGTCGAGCGCATCGTAAACCACGAGCTAAGAAAGGCAAACCTCCTAAAGCAGCGCGCCTGGCCGTACCGAGGACCAAACTGCCCTACGTGTGATGGGATGAAGAGTTATGGTTAAGTTAGTTCAACTGTGAAGTGAGCATTGCTCTTTGGAGCAGTACCTGTGGGCTCAAATCATGTACCTCCCCGCCTGAGTACACAACCAGACAGGGCCACATTTCGGTACCCCCACAGAGTACATCGAGTTTGGGACTTGGAACGTGGTTCTTGTGTGAGCTCCAATGGGGAATCATGTCGAGTTCCTAATGTGGAGCCAAGTCACTCATGTAGAATTTGAGGACGTTCATTTATCCCCATCTATAATCAGCGCTGGACGCTGGCCACTCATTTCTACCAGACTCTCCACATAGACTACAAGTTATCGATAGTGATGGTCGATCGTTGTTTATCAGATCATTGCTTATTCTGAGTTATAATCAGAAAACAAGAAATCAGGAGTAGAGTATCAAATTCAAGAAACGATTGTGATGCAAAATTATTTTGGTTCACTCGCCGATATTCGGCACATATTTTTAATATAGATTTAACAAATACAGTGACAGCTTTCTTACAACAAGAATTTTTTTTACCCGGAGTCTGCTTCGACGAGAAGTGATACTCAAAAGAGACAGTTCAATCCCATTTGCTAGGGTCACCCAACGAGAATATAGTTCAAAACCACTTAAACATAGCATTGTTAAATGTAGTTTAGTATTTAAACAGTAGATATAGGCATATTTTTATCCCGTAAAAAGTTTTTTCTGTTCGGATTTCCTAGTTGAAAGTCTAGTGATCCGGAAATTATAGGGATCAAAACGTACCTTCTTGAAAATTTCAGCCAGAAAAAAGGCTCCCGAAAAAATCGAGGTGACCTTTTTAGGGTAAAAATCAGTTAAAAATGGGCAATTATACCATTTTTTAGATGTTCGAAAATCCTAGGAGAGGCAGGCAAGCAAGAAATTTTACAACAAATGTTCCGAAAATTCTATTTGCTTTTAATGGTAGTTCAACTGTCGGAACGAGACGTAAAAGTTTAGGAACGTTACGAAAATGAGAAATTTGTCCAAATGTATGTCTAGGAAAATAATATAAGGTCAAAACCTTTCTCAAAATAATAAAGTTGAAAGTTGTGGTTGGTCAGACTGGATATTAAAACTTGCCCGCATATAACCGGTTTCCGGCAACAACGTATGATATGATTCAGATGGACTTTTGACTTATGAGATATAACGTGGCAAGCGTTTCAGCGCGAGTTCGTCGAGAAAGTTGGCGAGAGCAAAAAAGAAGAATGATTTTTTTTTGTTCTGTTTTGTTTTGTTTTGTTTTTTGCTTTCGCTCCAACTTTCGCGCAATAACTCGATTGGAAACGCAAGTTACGCACACTATGGAATGAACAACATCTGGACGAATTGTTAATACTTCAGAAAAAGAATATAGATATACCGCAATCGCCAAAAACCGCGAAGCCGAGAGATGTTAAAGAGTTCTGCGTGCAAATTCAGCACTGGTTATAAGCCGAACGTCCTTGGAAACGCAACTGACAGAAAACTTCGAAGAAATTGCGGCTTCTCCCGCCTGAACGAATACAGCTAAACTGTGGAAGCACCTACTTATGGTAAACGAAACACGACTGTCCTTTTTTTTTATCGGATAAATAACTGACGCCTAAGAACCGCATAACTGAATAACAGATCTGTCGACGGCAAAACAGAAACCGCCGGAGTTACTGAACAATTCTTTCGTTTACTTTTACCTGCTTTGCACCTGACCGTGACCTCGTTGAGCCAATCGGAAGGTGACTTCACCGATGTGGTTCAATTGCTTGTTATTAGTTTATCTTTTCTTCTGCCAAAAACGTGTAACACTGAAGTTCCCAACAATAGGCGACACACCAAACTGTTCAAAAAGGAGCCACCCACCCTAACACCAAAACAAGAAAAAGAAAAATCTTATTTTAACAGATTTTACGCAAAAATGAAAAACTACGCAACCAAAGAATGCTTCAATCTGTGGCTTGGCAACCGGCAATCTTTATTGCTTAATACAAAAGCCAACATAAGCGTTATTTAATAACCCAATCATGTTAAAGAGGTAATTCTGTATTTAATTATGGGTGATTTTAAAAACTGAAATAGGCATGACGAACCAAGATAATTTTTCGAATTTCCATGAACATGCGTGGTCTCCAAATTGGTAACATGTTTGTCTTTAATTGGTTATTAAATGTCTTTCTGAAGTATAGCCCACAAAGCTAATTTCAACTTATTTTGTCGGTTATCTTTTTAAGGATTTGCATTTGTTTATCTTCTGTCACTGGTACGCGTTGCAGGTGCAGTGCGAGTGACATGAGTACATAGAAACGGATAAACACGAGCAAAACATTCCCTGTGCCAGTGTATTAAATTCGTTCATAGAACGTTGAACTTAGCTTTCAGCTTTCCAGTTTCGATATCTGGGTATTAACATCGCTTGAAGGTTTCCTTGAGACATGTTTTCGGATTCATCAACCTCGGCTGCAACTTTCGCTGCCCTTTTAATGGTTTTCGTCTCACGGGGTAAGTAATACAGTCGACTCTCTCTTAACGGACACCTCTATAAGACGGACACTTCTGTAAAACGGACACTTATAGTTGGTCCCTGCCTTTCTTTACTCCCTTTATTTGACCCTCTATAAGACGGACATCTCTCTAAGAAGGACACTTAGTGCCGGTCCCAAAGGAGTCCGTCTTAGAGAGAGTTGACTGTATTTTATTTTTTAGTAATAGATAAATAATCGTAGATACGATTCTGAGGGGTTCGGGGCGAAATTGCTATGAAACTTTCCAGACAGGAAGTTAAATTCTCAGCACTTCAGAAACGGTCAGCCACTGAAACACTATTTTAACAGCTTGTTTTGTTTGTTGTACTAGTGGGTCAACACACTTTGAGTTGAAACATATTCAGAAAGGAAAACATTTTAGATGGGAAAGAGTGTCTAGAGTATGTTGTTATGTAACCGATGATAACTTTTGGCTGTTCCTTTCAAACTTTCTGAAAATATTGCAATCGTAGTTATAGTTTCATATGGATATCCTTACTGCTAGCTTATATTTACAGCAAACACCGAGAACGTTTTTGCTTCCCAGCGGACATATCGACCTAAGTTTTATGTGCCAGGTGACTTTTTTTACTTCCAGTGGCTGTCAGTATTTTTGCATGCAACTTGAATTTCGCCCAGAACTTGGTGGAATTCAACAGGAACCTGACTTAGAAGCGTTGTCGAATCAGTAAAAACAAATGTACTTTACAGTTTACTTAATTAATCTAAGAAGGAGTGCCCGTGCAGGGGTGGGGGGTAGGAGGGGGGTTGGGGGAAGGGCAGTAGAATTGATCATGACAGCCAATAACAGACCACTGTCAGTACGATATGTTCTAGGTCTACAGGGTGTTTCAAAAGTTCGTTCCGACTGTAAATTGTATTTTGCACAAAGCATTTAATGCTTCCTGAGGCAAATGTAAACTGATTCAGGTAAAAAAATTATCTAAATAACCGTTCAAAGCAATTTCAAACTAAAATTTGAAGAAATTATGATATTTTTAATTTTTTTTTATGATCGTTCCTTTTGTACTTCTCCCAGGAGAAGCAACATCCATGTGCTCGGCGTATCACAGCGTTTTCACTCGTGTGTTCAATGCCCTCAAAGACGGAGCAAAGCTTCTATTTTCGCGGGAAAAACTGCTTTAATCTTTATTTAGTTTATTTAGTTATCCGAAGAATGTAACGATCAAAAAACCAAACTTCTTTCTTTATACTTTGACAGGTGTGTCCGGACAGAGTACCTCATTGAGCCCTATACTATCAGTGACTCCGTCCTCTATGTCGACCCTACCCACATCATCACAGGATATATCTACCACAACATCCTCTGCTACAGCAGCCTCCACAGTGGTTATCAGCTCGACACCATCTGGCCCCTCGACGAATGCGTCTGTAACCACCACGAATCCGACCAGTGAGGCTATGACGGAAGCGCCAACTACGACTGAGGCGCCCTCCTCCACAAAGAGTAAGCCACCTCATTAAAGACAGCAGCGAAAACGTGGGAACAAAGACCTATTCGGCTAACTCAATGTTGTACTCAATTCAAATCTCCCGGAGATAAGATTCTTTGTGTCTTGTATTTGCATTATAATGTGGCATTCACATTTAAATGATATGGAAATTACTGAAACAAAACGTTTTATTCCTAAAGGGTTCGAATTGGGTACAACATTGAGTTAGCCGAATAGGTCTATTATACGCTGGGTATTGTTAATCTTGACATGGTAATAAGGTATGGGGAATCGCTCTGGCCAGGGACAGGCCCAAGACTAGGCGAAACTAGAAAAGGGCAAAATTAACACCGACTTACTCGTCGGGTGTGAGGACGTGTCGTAAAGCTCTTTTCGTAGAGGGATCAAAGGGAGTGAGTGTAAACTCTTTTGTGTTCACATTTGCATAATCCCTATATGGTCGGTAACCGGTCAAGGTTTTCAAAACACTAAATGACCCCCAGATAGGTATTTTCAATAAATTTGACTTATCTAAGAATCTGCTAGCAGAGTAGACTGCCAGTCATTTAGTGTCAAAAAACCAATGTATCACATTGAGCCCTATACTATCAGTGACTCCGTCCTCTATGTCGACCCTGCCCACATCATCACAGGATATATCTACCACAACATCCCCTTGGAGGGATCAAAGGGAGTGCGTGTAAACTCTTTTGTGTTGACATTTGCATAATCCCTACTGTGGCGAGATGTGATCGAATCTCAGCCTGTGTACGGCCGTCCCCTCCCCTCAGTAACAAACATGCAATCCAGTCACTGATCACGATAGGCTATCATGCCGATATGAATATTATTCCAGGCTGGAATGAACAGTGCCCCCAACCATACAAAATTTTGCGACTTTGCGATGCTTTATGAATTATCTTCGTTGATGGATACATGTATATCGTTTACAGTTGAAAGTGCACTTAGCTTATCCAGCTAGTTTACAGGCACTCCACTTAAATAATTCTGAAATAAATAATGCAAATAGAACATAACAGGATTAAAAACCCCAACAAGCGGTAGGCAACCAGTTGGCTATTTACAAGCGTGGCCGAGGACTTGAACTAGAGACGACCGACAACAAATCCCGAAAGTGGCCAGAGCGGGACTCGAAACCCGGGATTGTTGAATTGGGAGTCCGATTACGCTGGCTCCCATTACGTTTTCAACAAATCACTCTCAAACTTGGTAAATTTACTGATTTAGGGCGTCCTTTCAAACCGTGTTGTCGGATTGACGATAACCAGTCCCAGCCAAAAATTGAAAAACAAAACTGAAACCGTAGAAGGGTCACTGTATTTAATCGTCACTTAATGCCTCGAATTGGTGCCTTTGTTTAAAAGAATGTGGGAACTTAGTGTCATCTCCTCATTATTTTTTTTTTCAACTGCATTCTATTAATTTACCTTTTCTGAATTTTTCTTTGACAATTGTGCATTATATGTTCGTAGCATGTGGCTGGGTGATCGTGGTCTGGAAGAAAAGCTGGAACAGCATGTACAAAGATAATCAACAGTTCATTAGTAACACCACGGAAAAACTGCAAATGTTTTTAGTGAGTAATCTTATATAACAAATCTGTTTGTTTCCTTTGTTCCTTTTTGTTAGTATGTTCCAGACGAATACTTTAATTGTGTCCGATGTAGTAAATTTATAGAGCTAGCCCTTCTTGATTTTCATTTTAGTTCCATATTCCCATACTATACTGATACTTTCTCTCTAATAGTTGTTGCAAAACCTATCTAATATTAGAGGAAAACGGCTGATATAGTCTAGTGTGTATCTTAATTTTAAAAGCTATTGAAGGTCGAAGCAACTCATCCCTGTTTGATTAGCTACCTAAGGGCCTCTTTACAAGGAAGTGGGGACCCCTAGGTAGGTGAGGTAACCCGTTTAGGTGGGATAATATAAAGCGCCTGACGAGATAATCTCATTGTAATTTGATCACGATTTGCCTTGCGCAATGCCCTAATCCTCCCTCTTTTTGATAACGGAAACGTCATCTACACTGATTGACTTATTGTTTACTAACACTTCTCATCGTGTTATTGACCGAGGCGTTATTCCTGTCATCTTTAAGCGACCATTGTTTGATCTTCTGTGTTATCAAATCAGGTGTTCCTAAAGTTCCAGGGAGAACCATCGAAAATCGGTCATACAAACATTATTCAAAGCAGGAATTTGTGAATGACTTGAAAGAAATTGACTGGAACCAAGCTCTAAACAAGCAGGACATTGACCCCGCGGTCAATGATTGGAACAATCTTTTTACTCGCGTTACCGATAGTCATGCTCCCATGAGGAAATCAAGAATTAAAGGGGTCCGTTCTCCCTGGCTAAACGCACAGCTATCTGAAACTATGCAGCAACGTACGAGATTATTACCATCGTAAAGCCCTGAAAACAAAGTCCAATCATTGTTCACGCTATAGGGAACTTAAGAACTACGTAAATAAGGAGACAAAGAGATGTAAATCGGAATACTATTCTAAGCTTATTACCGAAAACAAATCTAATCCAAGTGCATTATGGAAAACTCTAAACGACATAACATCTCGCAAAGAAAGAATTCCCATCTCCTGCATTGAGGCCGGCGGTGTTCAATACTGCAGCAATAAATCTATCTCCAAGATATTCTCAATGAACACTTTTCAACAATTGGAACTAAACTGGCGCAAAAGCTCAAGTCTTGTAGATCCCACATCTACTCGGCGCCTGCGGTTAACTCGAATCTACCCCATGAATTTGCTTTCGAGCCAATGACGGAAGACTTCGTTCTTCGTCAGCTTAAGCAGCTCAAAATCAATAAAGCCATTGGCCTAGATAATATCAGTGCTCGTCTACTGAAAGATTCAGCCTCAGTAATCAGTGCCAGTCTTACTAGATTGTTTAATTTTTCCCTGGAAACTCGCACTTTTCCTTCTCTTTGGAAATTTTGAAAAGTGGTAGCGTTATTCAAGAAAGGTGATCGCTTTGATGCTAACAATTACAGACCCATTATTTGTAGTAACATGAAGTACTAACTGACCGCTGACCGGCGGTAGGGCTGTCATGAGGGAGAGCTGTATGAAGCTATCGTATTAAAGTATGTTGTGTTGATGCTGTCGTCTCTGTACCTCTTCGGACTCAACATGGTGTCAGAAGCGTGACCTTCCTACTAGCCTACAGTTGCGGAGATCAAACCAATCGGAGAAACGGATCAAATACTGAGACGAATTGACCGGTCAAACTTCACGCGGATCCTACGCACGTGGTTCAAAACAAGATGGCGGAAAGCATGCCATTCGCCAAACCACCGGAACCGCTGGAAATTTCGATGGGAAATCCTGCTCACTCGTGGGGAAAATGGAAACAAAAATTCGAAATTTACCTCAAGGCAATTGGAGCTTCAAAGAAACCCGATGAAATGAAAGTGGGGCTGCTATTAAACCACATCGGCGAGCCGTGTTTGGAAATTTACTCGAATTTCACCTACCTACCTGAGCGTGACGACCCCGCGGGAGGAGAAGAGAAACTTCCAGCCGAAGACTCCGACAACTACGCGACCGTTGTGGCAAAGTTTGATGAATACTTTCAAAAACGGGACCCTCAACTCATGCTGCGAGAGAAATTTTGGCTTCACCTTAAACGAGAGCCCACACAGACCTTTGATTCGTGGGTGGTGACTGTCAAGGAAAGAGCCGCCGAGTGCAAGTTCCCAGCCGATTTCTATGAGCAAGCAGTTAGAGACAAACTTACCTTTTCCTGCAAGGAAGACAATTACAAGCTAAAACTCTATGACGAGGGAGCAGCCCTTTCACTCGAAAAGGCAGTGAAAATCCTGTCTTTGAAGGAAGCAACAAAACGTGAGTTACACGAATCAAAAACCGCAGAGATTGAGAGCGTCACACCGCGAGGGAACAGGCAAGACCCTCATGCTGGTCAAGATACAGAGCAAAGGAACCAGCGAGACTTCAAGAGGAAGCCCTTCCAAACAAGTGGCCGGAACTGTGGGTATTGCAACCGCCGACACCCCCCTGGCAAGAAGAACTGCCCAGCGGCAGATACACGATGCAGCAAGTGCAACAAAATGGGACATTTCCCTATCATATGCAAGAGTGTACCTCCAAGGACGGTCAACGAAGTTCTTGAAACCGAGGATAACTTTAGCCTCACATTTGTGGGAGGGGTTTATACACCCACTAGTCCAAACACCTCCAAGGCCGAACCAGCAATAAACTCTCAAACCAGTAGGTCCGACCCTGGATGGCATGTCAACCTCAAGATTCAAGACCAAGAGACGCTGGCATGGTGCATCGACACAGGAGCACAAGTGTCTGTGATGCCTGAGCACATCTACAAGTCTTCATATGGAACACTTTCAAAATCTGACAGAGAACTTGTCGGAGCAGGGGATGTTCCTTTAAAGACCCTTGGATGTGCAGTCATGAACCTCCAACAAGACGAAACAGTCATTAAAGAACGAGTGTACGTAGTCAGTGGGGCATCCAAGTTGCTTCTGGGGATACCCGCCATCCGAAGTCTTGGTCTTATCCATGAAATCCCTGGGACATACAGTGTTAAAGCTGTCCATCAAATGCCTGATAGCCATCCACTCCACTCAGGGACCAAGGAGGACATTGTCAAGCAGTACCCATCACTTTTTCAAGGCCTTGGCAAATTGGAGGGTGAGCATACAATTCAATTGAAGGAAGGGGCCACACCCTTTTGTTTGACCACTCCCAGGCGAGTACCACTGCCACTAATGAAGCAAGTGCAAGAGGAGATCAAGCGTATGGAACAACTGGACGTTATTGAACCAGTGGATGAGCCGACAGAATGGTGTTCACCGATTGTGGTAGTGCCAAAGGCCGATGGCAGGGTGCGGATATGTGTTGATCTTACCAGGCTTAACCAAGCGGTCCGCCGAGAAGTCTATCAAATGCCAACAGTTGAAGAGACCCTGGGAAGCCTAACAGAAGGCTCAGTATTCTCCAAACTTGATGCCAACTCAGGGTTTCATCAGATAGTCCTAAACCCAGAAAGTGCCAAGCTAACTACCTTTATCACGCCCTTCGGCCGTTACATGTTCAAGCGTCTTCCCTTCGGCATATCCTCAGCCCCAGAACATTTCCAAAAGAGGATGGACAAAGAACTCTCTGGAATAGAAGGGGTCAAGTGCCGCATGGATGATATTCTAATCATCGGGAAAGACCAAGCGGAACATGACAAACGACTTAAGCAAGTCCTTGACAGGCTAGTCGAGAGGAAACTCACACTCAACCTTGAGAAGTGTTTATTTTCTCAATCCAGGTTGCAATACTTGGGCCAAATCATTGACAGTGATGGAATCAGGAAAGACCCCTCCAAGATCAAAGCCATCACCGACATGGCAGAACCCCAGAACATTGCAGACCTGAGACGTTTCCTGGGTTTGGTCAACCACCTTATGAAGTTCTGCCCAAATCTGGCTGAGACGACGAAACCCTTAAGAGACTTGCTCAAGAAGGAGAACGCGTGGGTGTGGGGCACAGCCCAACAAGAAGCCTTCCGACAGCTGAAAGTAGACATGGCATCCGACCAAGTTCTTGCACTGTACGATCCAGAGAAGGAGACCGTGGTCTCATCTGATGCCAGCAGTTTTGGACTTGGTGCGGTCCTCGTGCAGAAGCAGCCGTCCGGTGAAATGAGGCCAGTGGCTTATGCTAGCAGATCAATGACCGAGACAGAGCGTCGTTATGCCCAGATCGAAAAAGAGGCCTTGGCTATCACATGGGCACTTGAACACTGGGCTGAATTCTTGATCGGAATGAGATTTAAAGTGGAAACCGATCACAAGCCATTGATTCCATTGTTTTCCACAAAGCTGATTGACGAGCTACCAGTACGCATACAACGCTTCAGGATGAGACTCATGAGATTTGACTTTGCCATCGCACATGTTCCTGGTAAACTCTTGTACACAGCTGATTCATTGTCTCGATCCCCCCAGGAGGGTAAAGCCCAGGAGCCTAAGTCATGGGACGACCTACATGACGAAGTCGAGTGCTATGTGAATGCTGTATTGGTAACCCTACCTGCCTCCGACCAGCGGTTAGATGAGATACGTTCTGAGTTGAAGAGTGATGACACACTTAAAACTGTGATGCAGTATGTGCAGAATGGATGGCCTGAAGAGAAACGAAGAGTCCACGGGCCAATAGCTAAATACTGGAGTGAACGTGGCAACATCTCCCTCCACGACGGCCTGCTCCTGAGAGGACGACGAATCATTATTCCTCCGAGGCTGCGGGCAGATGTATTAAGGCGTCTTCATGATGGTCATCAAGGAATTACCAAAACACGTGCAAATGCGGCCTCCTCAGTGTGGTGGCCTGGAATCTCCCAAGACATCACAAGAGTCGTGCAGAACTGCGCCATGTGCGAGAAATATCGCAGAGAACGCATTGAGCCAATGAAAGGTACTGAGTTTCCAGAACGACCGTGGAGCAGAGTTGGCGTAGACTTCTTTCAGCACAAGGATAAACATTACCTCCTAGCCGTAGATTACTTTTCAAGAGATGTAGAGATAAGTCAAGTGTCCAAGAATGTAAACTCTGCCCAGACTATCCTGCAACTTAAGAAGATCTTCAGTCGACATGGGATTCCAGACATCTTATTTAGCGACAATGGCCCCCAGTTTGATTCACACGAGTTCACTAACTTTTCCACAGACTGGCAGTTTCAACACATAACATCGTCTCCAAGATACCCCCAGTCCAACGGTGAAGTGGAAAGGGCGGTCCAAACTATGAAGGCGGTCTTGAATAAGAGTAATGACGAATACTTGGCTCTCCTGAATTACAGAGATACTCCATTGCACCACGGTTACTCTCCAGCACAATTGAGCATGGGTCGGAAACTTCGTACAAGAGTCCCCTGTCACCCGGAGGAGCTAAAGCCAGAGACCCCAGACCGTGATCACATCAGAAGGAAAGAGAAGGAGTACCGAGCTAAGATGAAATTCGATTATGACCATAGACACAAAGTAGTAGAGGGAAAGGAACTGTCACCCGGTGACCGCATTTGGATCCCCGATTTAAAAGAGGAAGGAACAGTGATTAAGCCACACGAGAGTCCAAGATCTGTAATCATACAGACCCAAAACGGACAAGTGAGAAGAAACCGCCGGATGACAAGAAGAGTTCTGGTGGGAAGTTCTCCGGTCCCACCCCAGAATGAAGACTATGAGAATCATGAGCCGATACCAACAAGAGAGAGGAACCCAGACGTATCCTCAGCTCCTGGAGCCAGCCAAGAAGATTATGTAGAACTACCTGTCCCTGGGGACCAACCAGCAGTGGACAAGCCCTTGCAGCCTGAACCGATGCTGACACGCCTTAGACCTAGAGGAGCTCTAAGAAGACCGGACAGACTTATCGAACAATGCTAAGATTAGTTTCACTTTAGGACACTGGAGAACTGCGTTGTCCTTATTGACATTTAGTTAACTTAAAAAAAAAAAGGAAGATGTAGTAACATGAAGTACTAACTGACCGCTGACCGGCGGTAGAGCTGTCATGGGGAGAGCTGTATGAATCTATCGTATTAAAGTATGTTGTGTTGATGCTGTCGTCTCTGTACCTCTTCGGACTCAACATTATTGTGCTGCCAACGATCAGTAAAATTCTAGAAAAAGCCGTGCACACCCAACTGTACGCTTATCTTAAGAACAATGGGATCCTTACATCTAAGCAATTTGGGTTCAGACCGAAGTTATCAACTGGAACAGCCTTGGCTCATTTCACAGACAGTATCCTCCAGAATATGGACGTTGGCTCCTTTACAGGTGCTGTTTTTCTGGACCTGTCTAAAGCTTTCGATACAGCGGGACATCCCCTGCTGCTGCAAAAGTTGACGAACATCGGTCTTACCACCTCTACCACCCAGTGGTTTAGATCGTACCTCACAAACAGGTCACAAATTACATCGGTTGGAGATGCTCACTCTGCATCTACCGAAATGCCTATTGGAGTACCCCAGGACAGTATATTGGGACCTTTATTGTTTTTAGTGAATGATCTTCCGGACTGTCATCTGGCAAGTGATATTATTCTTTATGCGGACGAGACTATACTCTATTACTCATTCAAAAGCGTCAGTGTTCTTGAACATCAAATCAATGCTGACTTGCGGGCAGTGTCTGAGTGGTTCTCCAGAAATCTCCTGACCCTAAATATATCCAAATGTAATTTTGTTATCTTTGGAAGTCCTCAGAAACTGAATCGTATTCAAGGCATTTCGGTTAAAGCAGAGGGTACTAGTATTGAAAGAACACAATCATTCAAATACCTAGACGTAATGCTTTAACACTCTATGTCCTGGGCAGATCATGTCGATGCTATCAGCATGAAGATTAATCAGAGAATAGGCCTAATTAGGAGAATCAGAAATCTGTTGCCGTTACAAGCTAGAGTTGCCTTGTACAATGCCCTAATTCTCCCTCTTTTTGATTACGGAGACGTTATATGGGGGAAAAAGAACAATGACACCATTATGTCAGAATTACAGATTCTACAGAATAAAGCTGCTAAAGTTATGCTGGGGCAACCACCACGAAGCTCGTCAACGGAAGCACTGAAGAGTCTAGATCTGAAGTCACTCCCCACAAGAAGGTTTTTTCATCGCTGCATTGCAGCCCACAAGTGTCTTATTGGAGAAACCGATTTCAACTTTAATTTTACAAAAAATCAAGCTGTTCATTCATATAATACAAGACGCTCTAATGATATTCGCTTACCCCTACCAAGAACAAACTGGGGTAAACAAACTTTTATTTTTCACGCCGCGAAAGACTGGAACAGCCTTCCAAATGAGTTAAAAGAGTGTAATTTTTTTTCCTATTTTTAAAAGATCTCAGCTAATTTTAAACCGTGATTTTTTTTTAATAATCGATTTTAAGATTTTAAATTTTTTAACTTGTAAACATATTTTACTTTTTTCGTAATAATTAATTATCTAGCTAAATTAGTGCATGAGGGCCCCACTGAAAACCTCTTTGGCGAGTTGGCCTCCCTCTATAAATATCATTATTATTATTATGTCGCAGTATGAAACTTTGGAATGCTGTCCACATTATGAGTAGTATAGGGCGCATAGCATAACCTACACCACTTGAGAAGCTATACTTAGAAGTAAAAAAAGGTCGATACGAAACCTAATACGATCCTAAAATACATAATGATATGAATCTCTCTACTTAAAAAGCCAATTTAGAATGTTATTAAATTCTGATACTCTGTAAAACCTACGCTAAGAAATGATGATATGATTATCTCTAATAGAAGCCTAGTTACAAAATTATTCAGTTTTTACGCACTCAATATCTCTTATATACCTAAAGGAGGCCATCATAATGTGATTATCTCTACTAAAAGCTTATTTATAATAATATCAAACTCTAATGTTCTAAAAAATCTAAGTAAAAACATCAGCAAGCTTGTGTTTCTAGATTTCTAGAGAAAAAAACCCTAAAAACTGGAGTCCTTAGCGCCCTAACTAAGTATTTATCTTAAATGTTCTGGCAATGTTTAAAGTGTTTGAGATGACCGAACGCGACTTCTGCATCCGCTCAAGTACGCTTCGTGCTCTCACTCCAACTAGCTTCCTCGCCGACTTCTCTAGGTGTTTAGAGTAACCACCCAGTACGTCAATTATTACGTTGTACTTTTCAACCCTGTAACCATTGTATCTCTGCTTCAGCTCCCACATCATGGGCCCATACTCGAGTGTCTTTCCCTTATCTTTCTTAGCTCTGCTCTCAATCCATGGGCAGCTTATTTCAATTGTGCAGACTTCTTTCCTCTCGTGGCTGACAAGTCGCGCGTCGATCCGATTTGTTCTAACTTCGTTGTGCTCTGCATAGATGGGAATATCCCAAAACGCCTCACTCGTGGTGTTCTGGTAGGCTGGTTTTGGCATCACCGGTGAGTACCATGGTGGAACCTCTTCTATTAACCCATGCTCTCGCAGGAGCTCAAAAAACAGAATCTTCAAAGCTGCATTATGCCTGTATAGGTACTTGGTTTGTGCCAGGGAGGAACATCCAGCCAATACATGTGCAACGCTCTCAGCTACCTTCCCACATAACCTGCATAGGACTTCGCTGTCGGTGGAGGTTTGCGTCTTCTCCTTTGTGTAGAGCTTCGTAGGTAACAACTGCTCATACAGTTCATACATGCCCGCGATGGTATATGTAGGGCATGTAGCCCAACCTTTTAACCATGCAAAGGAGCTGGTTATGCTTAGGCTCTCATCTTCCCATCTGACACGGAATAACTTATTATTATTATTATTATTATTATTATTATTATTATTATTATTATTATAATAATTTATGAACTTATTGTGCGCAGCTTAACATGAGAATGATCAGCTGCGCACTACAACTACATTACTTTAAAAGAAACAAATAAAAGATAAGGCATTAAAAAATAAAAAATAAAGAGAATATATATGCATGCAAGTAAGAACTGAATATAAAATTGCTCACCAATATAAAGTTTTAAAAAGATAAGTCTTAATATGCGCCTTAAAACTGTTCACATTAGTAATCGCACGAAGTTCTTTTGGAAGAGAGTTCCAGAGCCTTGGCGCTTCTACCATAAAATCTCTATCACCTAACGTCTTCCATCGAGCAGCTGGCAAAGAAAGTAAAATACTATCTGAAGATCTAAGGTTGTATAAGGACGATTTAAATGTTAGTAAATCGAATAGATATTTAGGAGCAAGGCCGTGAATTGCTTTGAACGTAATAAGCAGTATCTTAAATTCTATCCGGACTTTAACAGGAAGCCAATGCAGACCACGAAGAAGGGGTGAGAAGTGGCAAAACCTAGGGGCATTACATACTAGCCTGGCTGAGGCATTCAAAACTCTCTGCAATTTGTTAAGTTGGTAGTTGGGCAGCCCATACAAAAGACTGTTACAATAATCAACACGAGATGTAATAAATGCATGGACAAGCATTTCCGTTGATTCTCGAGACAAATACTTGCGAATGCGTTTGATATTATGCAAATGGTAAAAGGCAACACCACATAACTTGCTAATATGAGTTGACATAGTGAGCTGCTCATCAAACCATGAGCCTAGGTTTCGAGCTACTGTTACAGGACAAACATCAGTCGACCCAACCCTAATACAATTGATGTTAACCTTGGCCAGCTGCTGCCTAGTACTTATAATTAAAAATTCTGTTTTATCATCGTTTAACATAAGATTATCTAAAATCATCCAACTCCTAATGACACTGATACAGTCAGTCATGGACTTGATGGCAAAATCAACATTCGCAGATCGATTGGGGTAGCAGTGAACTTGTGGGAGGTGGCGTTCAACGATCTGAAACAGTTTGCGCGCGTAGTTAGTGAAAAGCAAGGGTCCCAAAAATGATCCTTGAGGAACACCTTGTTTTAAAGGAAAATGATCTGAGAGACTACCATTTACAGAGACACGCTGGAACCGGTTTACGTTTACATGATAGACAGGATGACCTGCCGAGGCAGATTTCTCAGTTTACTGGACCGGGTAACCCGCTAGGGTGGGGTCCAATTTTGCTGGGTAAACGCTTCAAGGTGGGTTTACTCTCCTAACCGCGGGGTGGGATTCGTGTTAGTACATTAAACTCGAGCCAAGTTTTTGGTTTTTGTTTACGTGCTTTGTGATGCTTTGTGACCTTTCACTAATCCACCGTACATTCGGGATGGTGGGATCGTAAGACTACATTTTTAAATGTAATCTAAAAAATAATAATAATAATAATAAATAACAGGAGTTTAATTAAAAACTCCTGTTATATTTTTACCCTACCTGAGCGGTTTATGCGCATGCGCGTGTACTGACAGGACGTGTCTTTTTACGCTTCCAGTAATATACACGTCTTCATACTACCTGCCTCGATAAGCTCCTCCATTTTGCAGGTAGTCTGTATTTGTAATAACCTGAAATTCATCCGATTGCTTCGAGTCGTTTTCTCCTCTCAGCAACGACGTTACTGGGGGAGTAATAACGACTCGAAGTAATCGGATGAAATTCAGGCTTTATTTGAAATTTATTTATTGTGACTTTAAACAAATAAAGCTTGAGTGTCTCAATCTTGAGTGTTTTTTTTACCTCACCTACCTGGGTTCCCCCGCCTCCAGATAAACTGGCCTAAAGCTAAGACAAAAGTAAGTATGTTTATGGGCAGAACGTTTGAGTCAGCTCGAAAAAAAAAAGTTTGATTATTTATTTTTTCAGGAGCATGACTTCTTTAATGATTCCAGCAAATATGGCCATGTAAAGGTATCAGACCTACAGGTTGATGACAAAGACGGAGACATTAATGTGACGTTTAAGCTGTGTTTAGTTCTAAAAAACAATGCGCATGCTGGCTACATTGAAGATGTGATTAAAATGTGGAAAAAGTTTGGGAACGAGAGCATCACAGGACACAAATTTCTGGCTGGAGAGTACATTTGTTGTCGTAATAACTAATAGAGCTTTTTACCGATACGGCGGCCATATTGAATTAATTTGATTAATTAAGGAGTATTATAGGATGCCCAGGGGGCATGAGAACATTTCGTTTGTATTTTCGAGCGCTTTTCGGAACATTTTTTTCTTAAAGTTTTCTTAGAATAAGATTGTAATGGGAAAAAAGATCCTTGTGCCGTGTTTGGATGTAACAATGATCGCCTTTTTGTAGTTTAGTATTATAAATATGGTCTTTCACTGTATATTTCTCGGGAAAAAGGCGATCATTATTACATCCAAACACGACACAAGGATCTTTTTTCCCATTACAATCTTATTCTAAGAAAACTTTAATGTCCCGAAAATAGGCATCCTATAATACTCCTTAAATCGAATTAATTCAACACGGCCGCCGTATCGGTAAAAAGGTATATTTACGTTCACTATACCGAACACGAAAAGCTATCCGGAATAGTATGGACAGCAACTGCCATCAGGGACTGGCACGAGTCGTTCACACCCATCGAACATCGTTCTAAAGCGGTTGGTAGAGAGGGCTTGGTGCACTATCTCAATCGTCACTTTCCCTCACCAAGTGGGTTCCAGTCCTCGCTCCTACCCATTTACTTCTGCAACGGTCCGAATACCTGTTTACATTTCGACAAGGAGTGGAAGAAACTTGTCTGATATGTGACGATCCACTTTCAATATCAGCAAGCACTCTCGTTCCCAGAGCCTCCTGGGGGCCTGAGCACGAGGACCAGAAGGCTCTGGGGACACAGGATTTAAAGTCCTAGATTTTTGGACTTCCGGTCTTTTCTGAATCAAAAGTAAGTTGGGGGATTGTCTTTTAAAAGCTTTGAATCACTTAAATTTACAGTCATTGATACTTGGACAAGAGTAAATGACCGCTATAAGAAACGTTAAAGAAATCGCACAGAAATCATCTTCCTTACGTGTGGATAAAAGCCGTATCCGTTAATGTTTTCGTGCTGTTGCAAGAGCTATCGATATCCTATGTAGTGTGAGCATAGCAGCGATCAGGTACCGGTTACAACTGGTTAAAGCTAATACAAGAATTCTATGATCCGTGTACACTTATTCATCGTTATCACCACCCCTTCAACCTCTATCCCTGTCTCAAGACGCTTTTAACGGCGTATATAACGTTTCTTATTCTGCAGAGGTAACGTTTAAGGACTGGAAAGCTAAGGACGGCGAGTGCAGCAAATGTTCAAGTGGAGGGGCTGGACCAATCACTCTTGAGCGAGAATGTAAACCCAAAAAAGCTGAATACAGTTGCGATGGTGTGAGGACCACGGTGGAATCCCAGGACTGTTTAAAATACTGCGATTCGAAGGCTGGTAAGTTACGTAACGGGATGTATGATCTGACCGAGAACTAACTACTATATAGTTTACAGGCCCTATAGCGTGTTTTCACTCACGTGGCCAGCATCTATGCAAATTTATTAGAACAAAAGAAAGCGTTTGCATAAGGAAAGAGTTCAACTCTAACAGGGCCCGTTTGGGACACAAACATAGTCTCCGTTTCATTGTTTTGGGACACCGATATGGCCGTCATTACTTCATGTGAAAACACTCTTTATTCTCTTTTTGAGACCCCGTTTTGAACAGACAAATCTTTTACCTCTGCAACCCGATTATACGGAGTCGTCCAAATTCTGTTACAGATTGCATTACTGTTTACAGCTCAAAANAACTGGTTAAAGCTAATACAAGAATTCTATGATCCGTGTACACTTATTCATCGTTATCACCACCCCTTCAACCTCTATCCCTGTCTCAAGACGCTTTTAACGGCGTATATAACGTTTCTTATTCTGCAGAGGTAACGTTTAAGGACTGGAAAGCTAAGGACGGCGAGTGCAGCAAATGTTCAAGTGGAGGGGCTGGACCAATCACTCTTGAGAGAGAATGTAAACCCAAAAAGGCTGAATACAGTTGCGATGGTGTGAGGACCACGGTGGAATCCCAGGACTGTTTAAAATACTGCGATTCGAAGGCTGGTAAGTTACGTAACGGGATGTATGATCAGACCGAGAACTAACTACTATATAGTTTACAGGCCCTATAGCGTGTTTTCACTCACGTGGCCAGCATCTATGCAAATTTATTAGAACAAAAGAAAGCGTTTGCATAAGGAAAGAGTTCAACTCTAACAGGGCCCGTTTGGGACACAAACATAGTCTCCGTTTCATTGTTTTGGGACACCGATATGGCCGTCATTACTTCATGTGAAAACACTCTTTATTCTCTTTTTGAGACCCCGTTTTGAACAGACAAATCTTTTACCTCTGCAACCCGATTATACGGAGTCGTCCAAATTCTGTTACAGATTGCATTACTGTTTACAGCTCAAAAACTTGCACGGTTCCGCGACTCTCGTATAAACGAAAGACTGATCTGTGAAACTTTTTGCCTGTTCAAAATTTATCCGATCCCTTGTAAAAGGGGTCTAGGAAATTGGGTTTAGTGCCCGCTCCTTCATTCTTATTTACTGTGGTTAAGCCTCACAATGAGATCAGACTGGCTGGCAAAGGCAACACTCACTTATATACGAAAGTTGCAAATGGAGTCTAATTAACGCTTCCATTAGACCTTTTCGTTCGGGCCTGGTTCAAACAAAAGAAAACAATTATCAGCAAACTACTTCGTATATGCTGCTGATTGTTCCAGACAAATCAGTTCTGTACTAAGTGAAGTTAAGGAGTAACAACTTAACATTGATTTAACGTATGGGATGAATGCACCTGATACGTACATATACTAGCTTGGCAACAATATGTCAGCTCAATTTGGATGAGACCGGCCTGTTTTTCTTTCTTTCTCATGATATCTTTTCCCTTTATCTTCAGCCACCCGGAAGTTTACGTCCGTTTTCTTATTGCTGGCGGTACTCATATCTTTCAGGTATGCTTCAGTTAATTCCGCTATTATCCTTCTTCCCTGTCATGGGTCAACTAATATCAATTATTATAAACTGTACTCACTTCTCTTTCTCATTGGCTATGAGCGTACAGTTAATTTATTTTGGAAATCAGTGCAACCTACAGATTAGTTAGCTATCTGCTAGCAAATTTTTTGGAAAAAGCTACGTGAAAACGGATGCAACAAGTCCCAACATTGTTGCGGTAAAAGTGTGACTGATTTCAAACTTTGCGCAACAACTCCCAACAAAATGACACAACATGCGACAGGGTGTGAAACGCAACATGTAACATCCAACAATGTTGCGTCCGTTTACATGGGCAACCCTTAATTTCTAAGAGCTGAATGTCAAACTATGTTCCATGCCATGCTGTCTTTGTCCTTATTTTCTTCAAACCAATATCAGCCTAGGCCTTCCACTTGGCTGATAACGCCTACCTTGACCTTGATTATGCCGGATATTACCAAAACGTTATCCAATAATTGTTTAAAATACGTAAACAAATTAGGCTGTTTTCTTTCTCTTTCAGTGCAAGCTTTACTATCTGGGAGTGAGTTACTCCCCTGACGGACGGGCATCAAGCAAGTCATCCAATTTTGTGTGAAAAAGTATCTTTTTTAGGCTTTTTGTTAAGGTTACACTATCCTTTATGCAATTTTCGTTTTTTGTATCACACCATTTTGTAAAGATTAGCGAATAGCTCTTTATTTGTAGTCATGCTGAAATTCCACATAGAAAATTCTTTGTACATTAACATAGCTTACCTCGCTCCAAAAAAGAATTATATCAACTTAACTTGTAAAAATGGTATTTTAAGTCTGGATTGCGGCGTGCCATAATGGTTGGCAAGTTCATAAAGGACCCACATTTTACTTAACAGAACTCTTTTCAGAAATGTAATAGATCTATTAGGGGAAGTGTAAGCTTCGTCATTTTGCATGGCTTTTGTCCCGGCTAAGATTGCCCAGTTTTGAAAAACCTGTAGTTTCAGCTTTCGACGTTTGGATATCTTAAGGACTTAAGACTGAAGCAGTTCCCTCTTAGGCTTTTGTACATTATTCTTTTGTTTTCCTATTTAAATGCCCCTCTTAATGCTTCATTTTTCCCAATAAAATGTTCGGTCCTCCTCAAAAAATTCAGTAAAATGCTTGGCTAATGTTCATTGTACAGAGGCTTTTTCTTTTAAATGATCCTAATGTTTTAAGGGTCATGTTTATTTTATCTGGAAAAAATGTATATTTTTCAGAAAAATGCCACTAACATGCTCGAATAATGCTTAATGCTTTTGCCTTTCTAAAATACTCGATAAAATGCATGCCAGAGAAATGTGCAAAAGCCTGTTGTCTCTGCATTTGGCGATATTGTTTGTTTGTTTGTTTTTTTTTACCGTGGTAGACGTTTTGCAGTAATGCAACTCAATGTAAAGTTTCGAAGGAAAGAAGAAATGCTTCCCGAAAATGATTGATAGCCTGCAAGTGACTGATAAGCAATCGCGCCAGCCATCTTATACAGTGGAGCCTCGATTTAACAAAGGCCAAGGGGACTGGTAAAATTTGTTCGCCATAACGAGGCCTATTTGTTATATAGAGGTTATTTTTCCGTATATTTTACAATTATTGGGGTGAGAAAAATGTTCATTATACCAAGGACTTCTTTATATAGAGGTTTCACAGCATATCAGCTATCAGTTTATGTCAGAAAATGTGTAACGAATAAATGTTTTTTGATTATTGAGTGTGAAAACTGTGTTTTGTTTTGTTTAGAAATGAATTATCTGTTGTTCGTGTTGTGGAAGAGAGCTGCAGGAAGACTGCTAAAACTGTAATTTTCATAGTTAACTTTAGTTGACAACAAAAAAAAATATGTGTAAGGTTGACTTTCTAGTTGTGAAAAGTGAATGCTCTCCAAAGTTTGGACACCCATTTCGGGACTGAAATGAATCCATTTATCCGATCAGCTTAGCAACTGTCATTTTGTTTTCAGTGTTTTGTTCTAAAGAAAACAAAATGTGCAAACATTAATAGTGCAAAATATCCCTTCATCTTAGATTACTTAGCTAGCTAGCCTATAAAATGTTATCTCCTTGATTTAATGAATGTTTTTGAGTTTCGGTAATTGAATTGAAAGGATGGTATGGCTTACTGACACTGATGTAAGTTCAAAGTTATCATAAATCTATTATATAGTTCAGTTCGTTGAAAAGTGATAATCGTTTTTCTTAGACTTAGACTTTTAAAGTACGCTTATCAACATGTATCAAGATTCAAACGAAATGTAAGACAAGGAACGATTTTAATTTGGACTATAGATCATTAACGGATAGTTTACACCTAAGATAATGAAAGTTGTTATTCAGAGCAATAAGTGTGCATATATATGCCGTTGATGCTGAGTACATAGAAACACATTAATGAAATTAAACAAATGCATTGACGGCCACTATAAGGGAGTAAATTAAGGTCAAGAGAAGCCTCACTTATTCTTGTTGAACCAGTTCAAACTCTACAGTATCGTTAATTTTTCATTGTAGTTAAAGGACTTATCCCTAACACTTGATTTGAAGACACAATCTCGTAAAAGAGAAAGAAAAAGAAAAACATTTTCAAAACATGACTGAGGGATCTATGTTCATGACATTTGCCTGTTATTCGGTAGTTTGAGGATACGAAAAAGTTTTTATTGCAGTCGATAGTCTTCATCAAATAGCAATTATCATCAGTTTGGTGGTATTTTTGCTGTTCTTGGTATGTTTTTGGGCAGAGGTTCGATTTTCTCTTCTTCGCAAAATGAGCGACATCTCTAATAGCGCAACCTCGTCCCCAGGACTTCTTAGTTTCTGTCGTTGACGTTACGGCGGCCATATTTGATGTCCCAAAACAATGAAACGGCAGCCGCCACTGTGTTGTGTTCTAAAGTTTTTTTTTTCTTATGTGAACGCTTTCTTTTGTTCCAAGAAATTTGAATAGATGCTAGCCAAGTGAGTGAAAACGCTCTATTGGTGTCATTTTATCGGATATTCGCAAATGTAATTCAAGTTATTTTGGTCCACGCTAGCGGGTTGCAGTGAAGAATCATAGGCTACTGGAAGAATTTAAAGCCGGGGGATTTAAGCCAATCAAAAACGGAGAAATATTTTGAATGAATAATAATCTCATTTATTACAGCCAAGCCACTGGTCAAGGGCACCCCAAGACAGCAATAATGAATTTAGTTTTTGAAAGTTTTTTTTTTAGGATCGATAGTTTTGTAGTTTGAATTTTAGTGACGTCATGTGAAAACCAACAATTCCTTCATGCGTAATGAGCTGCAAATTCACAAGCGAGGTAGTTTAATTGAAATATCTGCCAGTTAATAAGCTTCCTTGAATTTGATATACAGAGCAATTCTATCCAATCAAAGATTTTTCACTCTGACCGAATATTGAGAAGTTGTTGGCAAAAATTCACTGCTCATTATGCATTCGGGAATTTGAAATTGAATTTGGTTATGGGGTACGCTTGTCCTGGGAATTAAATTGCTCCGCCTCTACAACAATTTTCATAATCGTAAGCTTAAATCCCGGAACGCGCGTATTTACGGAAATGAAATTTGAGATTGTCACGGGATTGGGAGTTTGTGTCAAAAGAGAACTTTATAAAAGCATTGATTCATCTAGTATATCAAGCATGAGACGCCGTGTTTGATCGGATCACCGGATGAAACCCTGAGAAGAAAGTTGAAAATACGACGCGCAGCGGAGTATTTTTGACGAACTTCGAGGTGTTTCATCTGGTGATGAAACGCTATGTCAGGGGCATCCAACGAGAATATAGTTTAAAACCACTTAAACAGCATTAGCATTGTTGAACGTATTTTAGTATTTAAACGGTAGAAACAGGCATATTTTTATCCCCTAAAAATTTT